TTTGTGCCTAAGGTGGGACTAGAACTCACGGTCTCCTGGTTTCTAGTCTGATGCCTTTTCAATATATCTATATATAATTTTATTAGATATTTTAACATAGGTAAAAGATAAACATGAAAATATAAAGAAAAAGAAATTAAAAAAAATTGCAGGGAACAGTAGAGATAGAAAAAGATAAATATATATAAAGAAGGGACTTCTGATCATCTTTACAGCAGTCACAAACTTATTATCCCTCCTCCCTCTTTAAGATTTTATTACATGGTTACCTTCGTTCCATATTCAACCCATAAATCATAAATCACCAATTCATTTTTTCCCATTTTCAGCAAAAAGTCCATAAGAAGTTTCCAGTCTTTTATAAAAGTACTTATTGTTTTATACCTTATCAAACAGGTCAATTCTGCCATTTCTGTGAATTTTGCCATCTTCACAATCCACTCCTCTATTGTGTTTTTCCATCTTTGTGCATATAGTAGCCTTGCTGCAGTTACCATATACAAAACCAGTTTTCTATAACTCTTTTCTAATTGGCTATCCATAAGTCCCAATTAAAAAAGTTATGGCTTCATCTGAATATTAATCTTTGAAATTCTTTGCATATTCATGAGTATTTGTATCAAATATTTTTTTTCTTTTTTGCATGGTAAAATGTATCAAATATTTTTTTTCTTTTTTGCATGGTAAAATGTCCCTTCATGTTTTTCACATTTCCAACATTTATTATAAGTACCTTTATACATCTTAGATAATTACTCTGCTGTCATATACCAATGATACAATCATTTTATAAAAATTCTCTCTTAAATTATAACATGTGAATTTCAGTCCTTTTACTCACATTCTCTCCCATTGGTCCATCTGTGTACTATAACCAAAATTCTTAGCCCATTTTATCATGCACTCTTTTAACTTGTTCTTCTTCCATTTCAAATCTCAAGTTTATACATTTTACCAATCACATGTTCGTTTTTAGCCTGATGCCTTAACCACTACACCAAACTGTCTTTGTATGACATGCTGAATCACACATTATCCAACCATATTTCAGCCTAGATTTCTCTGTAAACCCAGTCATAAACTAACAATAGAAACAGAAGCAGCAATTAATTATGTCCATCTGTGTACTATAACCAAAATTCTTAGCCCATTTTATCATGCACTCTTTTAACTTGTTCTTCTTCCATTTCAAATCTCAAGTTTATACATTTTACCAATCACATGTTCGTTTTTAGCCTGATGCCTTAACCACTACACCAAACTGTCTTTGTATGACATGCTGAATCACACATTATCCAACCATATTTCAGCCTAGATTTCTCTGTAAACCCAGTCATAAACTAACAATAGAAACAGAAGCAGCAATTAATTATTTAACATGGTTTAGATGCAGTCTAGCTAACAGTCTTCTCTAGTTTGCCTACTGAAGTATCCATTCTGGCTGGGAATGATAGGAGTTTTTGGACTGCAAGATTTATTCAATTAACCCAATTTTCTGGACTTGCATGATGCACTGAACTAGCAACTAACCACACAGGCTGTGCTTGCGCAATGAGCTAGGCCAGGGCCATCGGGGGAGATCAAAAGAGTCAAGATGGTGGTTGTGAAGGCACAACTGAAGCTCCATATCTTTTGAATGTCACACACACAAAGGACTGGGGCTTGGCACATGCAGTCGTGACCTTTTATACCTTACCCCACAAATGCCGTTGTGCTACATACAGTTTATAGTTCAGTGTTTCACATGAAAACAGGCTAAGCCAATCACCCTGATTAATTCAGAGTGTATGCATCCTATCTTACTTGCCAGTGCATACAGCCCTTTAATCAAGGTCCCAAGATCACTTAAGATTAACAGCATCATGTGATTCCACAGCAAGCACCATTCTGAGTGGTTTCAAATGTTACAGATATTCCACCATACATGAGAAAAGATTACAAGGAAATCTCAGAAGACATAATTTGGGGCAATGGCCTTATGCTACAGAAAGGCAGATTTTGACTGAATGTTAACAGTTCAGCAATGGAATGGTTTATTAGCAAGATAGTGAGTTTCCATTCACTGGATATCTTCAGGCAGAGACAGCAAGGCATCTATCATGGATGTTGTAGCTGGAGTTTCTGCACTGAGTAGAAAGACTCAGTTACCTAACTGGCCCCTTCAAAGACACTACAGGTAGTCCTCGTTTAGCAACTGTTTGCTGTTATGATGGTGATGAAAAGGTAACTTTGTGACAAGTCCTCACATTTACAACTCTTGCAGGTCTGTAAAGCAAAGGAAAGCTGAAATAAGATCATGATCATTACAGTTGTGATTTCACTTTTGTGACAGTTTAGCTTAACAACCGAGTTGCTGGTCCCAATTATGGTCACTAAACAAGGATACCTGTAATTCAAATTGGAAATGTATGCTACCCCAGGTTCATATCACACAAGCATGGGACCTTGTTTATATGGTCAGTTATGATAAGGGAGCAAGGAGTTAAGATGGCAGCACACACAATCTCATTAATGTCACTGATTGGCTAGTTATGTTATAGCAAACAAACCACAGTGATTCTCCTAAATCAAAGATCTGAAAAAAAAATCAAATAAAATATTCAACCTAGAACAACACTGCTGCTGAAAGTTTGCAAAATCATTCTTCTTCATACACATAAACTTATTCAAAGGTTTGCTACTTTCCTTTCCAATTTTCCTTAGGTTCCCCTCTTTTCACCTTCCTTGATTCCTTTTAACAAATACACCTCTCCCTGTGTTTTTTTTTTTAAAGACAACAGCTGATATAATGGTTATATAATAGAAGCCATGCTTTGGGGCTCTGCCCAAGACTTAAGAGAACAATTCATTATTAACAGGAGCCTGCCAACATATGTAAATACCTGTACACGCAAGAGGCCTACTTGGAGGACATGGGTAATGTCTGCAACAGTTAAGTGTTTAAGGAACACAGACCGAGCTGCTGCAATTTACTGTGTGTCCCTGCTCCAGATGCAACTCTTAAAATATGCAAAAGACCCAAACTACTGCAATCTATAGGACAGCAAGAAGGGAAAGAGAGAACCCAAAGAGGTGATGTTTGTGATTATGACAATGGAAAGAGGGCGACGAAAAGCTAGAAAAGCTGTGATGTTTTTACGACCAAATTAACAAACAAGCCCAGCCTTTGAAAGATCAAAGATAAATGCCAGCTGCCTACAGGATGCACAGAAAGTGTATGACACCAAGTCATCTGTCCATCCCTCTTCGGAATATACTTGTTTGGAAGAACTCCCATTGCACATCGTGCAAGACACCCCTGAGCAGCTTCTCTTGATTTCCATAGTTTTCACCCTCCCTACTACGTTTTCTTTTTCCGCGAGCAATATATGCAAAAGGCTGCTGCTGACAGAATTCAAGGGACCGTCTTTTCCAGGTGACAAATCCCTTGTCATCACCCGTCACTTTCCCTTTTGTTCGAGAAATGGGGGGGGCAATCCGCCTACGACTCATCGAGGGTTTGTTCAGTTTTGAGGAACAAGAGCTCCATGCAGCGTTTTTCCTAGAGAGCTTTGCCCAACCCAGGCTCCGGAGGGCTAACTTGTAAAGGAAGTACGAACAACTGGATCTGGATTCGGATTCCTTCTTCCTGCGGTCCCTATACGGAGCCAAATTAGGAACCTCGAGTCCTGGGAACACATGCCCGAGCAACTCACAGCCAGGGAGCTGCACTCGCCTTGGCCGGCCTCGGTTTATTGCAGATGATTAGGCACCCAACGCGAAACCCCGAACCGACCGGCTCACGCTGCCCTCACGGGCTTCCCTAAAGCTCCGGTTTATTTAAAGGGCTGGAGGGGAGGGAGCAGGGCGGATTGATTTTTTAATGGATTTCTTTCGGGCTTGCAAACTATACTACACATTGCTTGTTTAGCCGTGTATCCCTCCGCTTCGAATCTTGCGAGGAATATGTAACCGTATCGGCAATGTTCTTCCGCCGCCGAGAGAGCTGTCGGGACTGCAGAGGCGATGCTTGGCTGGTACCTCGCTTCGGCCCGTCAAGTTAAAACACCAAGGTAAGAATCTCTGGAGTAGCGTATTCCTCCGCTCTCGCAAAAGAGATCTTCGCCCTGCCTGGGGTGTCCCTCCGCCTCCTCGGAGCGCACAAGCAGGAGGCGTTTCTTATGGCTGTGTGAGGAAGCCAGTGGGCCTAGAGGGAAGACAAAAGGCTTTTGCGCACAGCAGGATTTCGCCCGCGCGGGTCTGCTGGAGGTGACAGGCGCTTCTCGCAGAAGACTCGCAACGTGCCGCGGCCCCGTTGTAGCGCTGCAGGGTCGTTGTGTGCGGCCTCGGGGACTTCTTCTCGCGGGCGCGGCGGATGGATCTCTAGGTAGCGTTGCCTGAGATCATTCGCCCTTCGCCGCCGCCATCTTGGATTTTAATCCGCCATTTTTCCCCCTTGGAATTATTTTTATTATTATTTTTATGATTAATTTTTTTTCGCCTCTGGTTGGGAGTCTCCGCAACGGCGACAGAGGCTTTGGATCCGGAGGCCACGGGTGGCGAGCAGGACGGTGGTGCCCGGTGGCAATCGGGAGGTGAGTGCTTCGCGTGGACGAGAGGGGGGGCTGGAACTGGCACACGGGCAAGGGCCCCACTCCTTCCGGGGAGGGGGCGGGAGGGAGAAGCGAGGCCCGCTGGGTTGGGTTGGGCCGGGCCGGGCCGGGCCGGGCCGGGCCTGGCCTGGGGGCACAGAGGCGGGGGGGGCTGCTTCTCGTACCTGAGGAGGAAGGGGGGGTCCTCGCAGAGAAAATGTGGGGAGAACCTTTAATTCCCGTGGGGCTCGGCCTAGGAGGGGTCTGTTCGCCCTCCCCGGAGAGAAGGACAATGCGATAGGGAATGGGGCTGAGAGGAGGACCACCCGAGGTGAGAGGAAGGCGGGGGGAGCCGGCGATGCTCGGCAGAGCGCCGAGGGAAGGAGCCGGTCCACCCTCCCAGAGCCGGGGGCGCCTGTCAGGCTGGAGGAGGCAGCGGGGGACCG